CATTCTAAGAAGTTCAACGTGGCACTGTCTTACGCTACATATATGTTTTTTAGTCGGAATTCTGAAATGGTAGTGTTCACAAATTTGTCTAACGTGGTAGTTTCTCTATTGAACTTCTACTTCATATAATCTGATTCCTGTTAACAAATATATAAGATATATAAAATGACAAAATTCTACACTTGCTTTAGGGCCAGATTGCAGGAGTATAAGCGCAATGTTGCTTTTGCATTGAAAAATTGAACTTTTCGCTCAAAACATCGTTTGTGATGATTCTGACGAAATTGAATACGGAAATTCCGAAACCCAATTACGTAGAATAAATATTACGGAAATGGGGTACGTTATGTGTAATTAATAGTGAATATCTATTTCAGGTGGCGGTAGGGGTGAAAATGAAGGAGAGGTAAAGAGCGGCCGTAGCCGTAGTGCAAGAAGAGACGATCCCAGAAGGCACACACTGTCCGGTGACCAACACTACAATATGTCCGGACAAGGGGGGCCTCTCTCGCGGACGATGGACTTAGAGGTAACTATAAAAAAGGAACTTTGCAGTTGCGGTACGGAATTAAATTATAAATAAATATCAGGCGTGTGCCTCTTTCAACTGTATACCCGAGGTTTTGAAAAGCTACAAGCTTAATAAAATTTGTTCCGTCGTTCTAAGTTGGATTCCGCTTTCTTTAATTTAATTAAATTGTTGGAATTCAATTTGATGCCGATGAAATTCTAAAAAACCTCACTTGAAAATAAACATCGCCTGAAATTAAATCATCGGTGCTTGTGTTTCGGGGAAATGCGCTTTTTAATTTTTTACGATGTGCGCTGAATGAGAAAAATTAACGATTCATTCTCGGTTATATTTCTCTGCAAAAGGTGCAGCGCATACCCAAACAGTTCTAGACATACCTACCGAGATTCAACTTTTTTAGACAAATAACTGTAACTACATTGGCCTCTATCTATTTATTCATTTGAGAAAGGAACTGTCTCTGTAAGTGTTTTTTCTGTGAGTGAAAAAATTTTGAAAATTGTCAATACAGTATCCGTTGTAATAATCATGTTGTCGGTGCAATCCCTTTTTGGTGGGTTCCATAAATAACAAAAGTAATTGTTGCATATACTTATACAAATTACCCTATCGATTAACAATAACATTTTTAAGGGATCTTCTTGTGGATGAACAGTTGAACTCCAAAACATCTAGTAGGTAATTAGGCTCTGGACCTTAAATCTCTGAATCGTGCATACGTGGTAACCCGTTCGAAAAACGGAAGATGTTGAATTAAATGCAACTTTCTTCTGGCTCATTTTCGAGGTTTACTTTCATTACCAAGCAAGTGTAGGTACTCACTCTAATAATGGAGTGCATCGAACAGATTTTTGTAATTTAATCGTATTTTTTAATTGTAATAGTCAATTTAATTACTGACATTTTACCTACTCAAGGAACGCTAACGAATGTTTTATTTTGAGCGATATATTATGACTCCTTCCTTTAACGTAGGAATCTTCCTCACCCCTAGTCTTTATAAACGGTACGCGTTATTAAATGGTTTCGGCTTGTCGTTCTTTTTTAATGACAATTTATTCACGATTTAAGAAAACGTTTAACGTCTGGTTTAAAAAAAGTCGTACACTTTTCTAATTATCAAATTAAGAACCAAAGTTTCACCAATAATTTACTTGGCTTTTTATTAGCACGCGGATATCGATAACTACTCGACGCAAACAAAATCAACCTCGAACATTTTCAGCTTACAATCTGCAACGCTTCGAGCTTCATTTTATATAATAATTTAGATACCCTTAGTTACTGAGTAATTCTTACGCCAAAACAATGGCCGATTGTTAATGGTTGCAGTCTTCAATTAATTGGTTAGTTTCCCTCTTCCCAGCACTATGAAACGGCTTTTGTGGTTGTCGCTGACTTTCAAATTTTGCAGAATTAGCAATTTCCTTCCACTTGCTTCCCAATTAGCTGAGTCGCAAAAGTAACCAGAGAAGGCTCATTTACAGAGTGTAATTCAAAACCATATCCAGGCCGTGAGACCGAATTAGAATAAGGAAATAAAGAACTGATATTATAAGCCAGGATATTTTCGACGACGGTCTTAAGAAACTATTGAGGAATTCTCAAGGAATTCTTGGTTAGTCACACTTAATTAACTCCGTTATAACACAATCTGTACTAAAGACATGTTTACCTAATGTCTTTTAGGCACTCAATTTGGACATTTGGAAATGTCACAAATGCGACCGGTAAAGTGACCGATGGGGCCAGTAAAGTGACAAGCTGCAGGAAACGGAGTCTACTCTGTCATGGAAACTAAAACTTCCTGAGAGAAAGATCGTATGAAAAATGAAGGTTTCAGGGCGATTTTCGGTAAAATTAAGAACATGCGTAATGGAACTAGTAAATAGTCTCCACTATGATGGTTTACACCTACAGCAAATAAAACCTAAAAAATACAACCCCAAGAACTGATGGCTGTAAACAGTCTAAGGATTCAAACTGGTGGTGTAGGGGAACCCATGATGCTAACTGGGGATTTACTCGAGCGTCGTGCGGATCGTAGATTCAACTTTGAAGGTTAGATGGTAGAAGGAAAGAAAGTTATATGATCTACATCTCTCCACCGATGGGAGGCGCGTCAGATATTGATACTGTATATGCCCTACGTGTCTCTGATATTGGAGGTATGTTAATCTGCCGGTTCGAATGATGTGGGACGCTGTACGGAATGGTAGAAAAAGGATTTTATTCGAGCCTCAACAGATATTTAGGGCATTGTATGGTATAATTTACGACACGGCCGCCTATGACCGCAATCAACTGACATGGTTCAACTGGTGAACACACTGAACTATATTGACGATCTGTTTGACTTTGGCGCGTGGAAATCGGCAGATTACATTACTTCTGTTATTCTTGAGTAATTTCTTTCGAAAGGAAAAAAAATCCAACGCGTTCGAGAATGTCAAGTTAACATTTTTTTGCAGGTTTGAGACCCTCCCACTCCCTCACGTTACGCTCAAATTCTATCTATCCCATACCTCATACTAAGGAGGCATTAGGGTTTTCCCCTTTTATTTTGGCTCGAAAACCAATTATGCTATCTTTCAATAAAAGGATCTTCAGTTATTAATTAATAAAATATTATGGCAATACAAGAATAGATTCAACAAATATATTACGCCCCCACATAAAACAAATAAAAACCCCCGATCCATCGCACAAGCCGATAACAAAAATCATAATTGAATCTTAAGGTCTTTCTGTCAACGTTAAGATTATGGATGTGGCTATGTGTAATAGTTATAATTATAACTCCACTACAGTTAAAATACGTACACAAATCTGCAAGATACCCTAAATTGTGTAAACACCCTGTGTATTAATTCTCGGACGTCAAAACCGAATAAGCCTAATTAAGCTAAAGGAAAATTTATCAAAACGATGGCACCATAATTGCTAACTATAAACGTAATTGAAGCTACGTTGTTAACTAATGTGCTACGTACCACATGAGAAAACATCCCGTACGCGCTATGTATAGCCAATAAACAAAGCTACCCTTAAGTACAATCCTTACCGAATCGATAACTCATAATGTTGAGTAATCTTAGACTCTCAAATTTATAAAAGCCTATACGTCATAAACCGATATCAAATAATAAAAAGGCTTTAATGTTACAATTACAATGCACCCATACAAAGCTACCTTATTTCTGCCGCCTCAATTAAAACTCCGCATTTTTCTCTCTCTATCTCGAGTTAAAACTCATCACGCGCTTCTACTTGCGAGCCTTCGTCCTCGAGTAATTTGAATTGTCACATTAGCGACCATTACAAATTCCAGGTGTATGTAACCGTTGTATTTTTCTTTTGCAACAACAGGAACTGTTCAATTCAAAACTGCCAGACATGTAACATTGCAGCTTCAACTTTCAAATTTTAAGATTCAAGCTTCAAGATTCAAACCTCACGATTGCAACAAATCTCAAGGCTCAAATGTATAAATTCATACAGCAAAATCGATATACCTATTCTTTATCAAATTTGAAGATCCGAGTTCGTGAATTGGCAATCTAGGCCCAACAATAAGGAAGGCTGTTTTGAAATCTTCATTAGTTGCATGAAATTCAAACTGGAGATAGCCATGTAATGCTAAAAGTTGAGTCTAATCGATTTTACCTTCACAGTGTCCTTTTGGCATTTCGACCATTTATGAACCGAATTGTATGATGCATGATCAGTTTCTGGAGAAAATTGATTAGGACATGAGGTTCAAATTTTCAAGGTAGGATTTGCTATGTGCTTTCATTATTTGACGTTGCATTGTTTAAATTTAAAAATTACTTTTTGTCCTGTAATTTCATCTTTGTACGTACAATATAAAAGAAAGCAGAAGACTATCGATAGGTACTACACCCCATTCATCATTTCAAGTCTGCGAAAAGTACACCCTCGAAAACTGTTTCTGACGTTGATGTTATCAAAATTTCGCTTTAAGATACGAAGGGAAATTATATAAGAGGTAAATTAGATCTAGTAATAAACTGATTAGATAGAATTAGTCGTGCTCCAACTAGATTACTGTTAAATTATGCTACTACATGACCTTTGGCTTAAATTCCCGGTCAACGTAGTTTCAAATTAAATCTAGCGATGGTCCGCAGTGTTAGTTAATTATTCAGGATTGTAGTTTCAAAATTTAGTCTTCATATACAAAAGGCTTTCAACAAAAGTTCGTTTATAACAGCATTAAACCATCGCGAGGTGAATAATGTGTACAACGGTTTGCACTTCCATTACCCAATCTTAAACAATTTCGCTAATAGTCAGCGCAAATCATTTCCTCCCTTTTTTATTATGTGACGTAATATTGGCACATTATTTTTTGATTGTCTCTGACATGACCACCAATTAAGAGTTCAACAACGTTCTCAGTTATAATCCACTCATGAATTAATTAAGTTAGTTTCGTATAGCCCGTCGCCTCAACTAGTGCTTATTTAGTTTTCTAAATTTAGTGTTAGACATGTCGACCGACAGCTTAATCTCTTTACCACCAAAACTAAGTCTGATTCCCCGCCCTTCGGTAAAAAGGTGGTCAAATGTGAACGGTTACGTTACGATGGATCGGAATTCGTGTAATGCCAACAATACAATTCCAAACTTAATATTCCGCTCGTGCCAAAGTTCTACTTTAGTGAAACTTTCGGAAAATTCATTTCCTGTTGTTCCAGAACATCCTATTAACGTCCGAATAAAACTAAGTTCTCCCGAACAAATACTTCCAACGTTCACGCATGAAACGGTAAGCTCATATTGTATTAAAATTTGATTTCGCTCACTGTTTGGTAACGTGTTTAATGGAAATGCCACGTAAACCCTACGCTTACAAATTGTTTCGGTGTCGACGTATGCGAAGAACTCGAAATTTGGTACGATTGTAAATTGTGCCAATCCTCAGCCCTTCATTCAACTTGGGCGCTACGATAATTAAACTCGAAATTAAACTGTTAAGATAATATTGTGCTGATATGCGTGTAATAATAAATGTATATGCTGAAGTAAAGTTGGCAGGGCAAGCAGGAGCAATTTTTTAATAATAGCCCTAAGGTTTCTAAAAAAAATGTAGTGGCGTGTGAATGTGCTATCAATGTAATTAGGTCATCAGGAACTGATTTTGAAAACCTGGGACTCCTCGTCAAAATCTAAACCAACCCCAATGATCAAGCCGAAACCAGCGATAAGAAACGGATTTGAGCGAGCATTCTACAATTTTGAAGAAGGTACTAGATTTGATGAAATTCCCGTAAAGAAAATGGAAGTGGAAGTTTTCCAAATTGTGAACTGTAGTTTATATGAAACAATAGAAACGAAAAAACAACTGAAGCAAGTGTAAATTGTGCACAACTCTTGTGCAGATAAAGCGCATTTTTAAAAAATCGAAATAGCTTATAGTAAATGGTTGGGTTATGTTATAATAATTATAGGGTAGCAGCGTGCTGTATTTACCGATGTTTACTTTCTTGGTAGATAATTAATGGGGAGGAGGTCGCCTGGCATACATTCAAAATCTACGCTATACAATGCAAGAAGAATCCAGCCCTTATTCCCTTTGTAGGTACCTTCCTCCAACATTTCGAGATATTCACGCAATTAAGTTTTTACACCGCTAGTAGAGTGCCTCGTCTAGACGGTCTCTCTGCCCTTTGAGAGGACCCTCCTCCGACACTCCGTTCTGCAGATATTTGCACTGAATATTTGGACATCACCAGTAGATATCTCTGATCCTGACGTTCCACTTGCCCTTTGTTTCATCCCACAATCTGTTCTTGAGATATAAGGAATTATATACGATCACGGTAAGAGGTTGAGAAGGAGGAGTATGGTTGGTAGATTACTTCCTTTCGTTGAGACCTTTCATTAGAGTATCATGAAGAAGAAAACCAGTTCACTCCCCTCCTCCCCAACCCTCTCTTTTAATAAGGGGTCAGAAAGAAAGGCGGTCCGCGATAGTTGGTAGAAAACAGTTTGTTTTGTTGAAACCTTTAATTAGAATACCATGAAAGATAGAGCTAAATTTCTACAAAAAAGTTGGGTGGTGAAGGAGTTCCAAAGAATTTTTTTTCCAAAAAACCAAGTATCTCTAATGTTTCCTAAGTACTAAATGGTTTCACATCTAGATATTGGAATGTTCGAATATACGTCATATTACTGAGGTTTTTTTCTTGTGACCAACTTAGTTCATTACGAAACAGACGCAAAGTACTATCAAATAGTACATAATATACATAAAAAATTGTAATTATATTATCATAGGGTTTAAGCACAGCTTACTTAAGCTGTGGTTTAAGTTCAACATTTTTTCGGCCTCCGAAAAGTTTTTTTAACACGTTTTTCAGCAACTTTAACAGATAGGACATGGGAAAACCTTACCTAGGTTATCTCGTACGCATTTTTGAATTTTGTAAAATTTCTTTCGATTAAAACTATCGGAGAATCGCACTAACAATATATCTTTTCGGGTGACTTTTTTGACGAGTTTTGATAATAATACCGCGCCACACAATTCCACACGTGGAATTGTAGTAGTCGTTAACGGGCTTACTCTTGATTTTGAGCATAGTAACGATACTTATTACTCATAATTTACATTTTGAGAACGTATATACAGGGTGTTACATTTAAGTTTAATATACGTATATGTAACAGCCTGTATACACAGGCAGTATAGGCGCGTCGTTAAACCCATGAAATTCTACATTTATAAATGCATCCTTTAAAACAAAACGTGGTATGACAAATTTATCTATACCTTGAAGAGTTGTGCAGAAATTAAGAAAACTTGTATACACTTCTAGAGATACAGATTCGTCCCAATGATCCTTATTCTTCCATAAACTTTGCATTAATAATTTTGCAAGGATAATGACAGGTCTAAGAAAGGATAATATAGCTGAGATATAATAGATATTAAGCGTTTGGTAATTTTAATGTTTATAATGCTATTTATATAATAGAAACAATCTGTAACAGTATATTCAATTGATTCCTAACATTTTGTAATTCACATTACTTGAAATTATGTAATTCTCAATTTCATTATTATTGATCAAAATAAATTTATTGTTTGAATTCCACTACCCTTAATTCGAAACCTCCTGATGCAAGTATAAATTCAATGTTTTGTTTAAGTTTGACTGCCAAGACGCAATTGCAGCTCTGATACTGCAAATTGACTGCTGATTGTACATGAGTAATATTAATGAGTCTTTCCAAAGCATTTAGTAAAAAATGCTAACCTCCCCCTTTGTTTGAGCATGCCGATAAGTTAATAATTTTAAATCGTCCATAACCGATAACACAAATCTTATTAATCAAAAATACGTATTGTATGATTATAGAATTTCTTTATACTCATATGATATATGTTATTGGATAACTGAGGTAACTATATTAGAATGGTTATGTATGATAAAGAAAGAACTAACCTGATTGTAATTACTCGGATTGATTAATTGATATTCAATTCTTTGCCATCGCTGGAAAATCCGTGGTTGAAGACCAACAAATATGTGTGTATTCAAACCCTTGAATCGGTGGTTTGACTCTATTTTTTCTTTCATAGCTGAATTAAATAGAGACGCACGCCACTGTTCATAATTTTCTAAGTTTGTATATTTGATTAAGTTTTTTATGTTGCTATATCCAAACAGTGTACTCTTTAATATATAACGAAAACTAGTGGTTGCCATTAAAAAAAATAGCCCCCCCCCCTGCAAAACACTGGCCAAAAATTTACTTAGAGTACGTAGATTAGTAGCAAACGTTTTATTAGTGATGATTACTATAAAAAACGTACATATTTGCAAAAGTTGTATCTTTGAAGATATATTGAGCGTTCCAGACAAAAGTTCCCTAAAGGAGAATTCAGAATTAAGACATCTTTTCCGTTTTTGGGTTAATAGCTCCGAAGGGAAAAAGTGTATGTTTCATCTAAAGGATTTCGTTTTCTTAATAAAATTAAACCGTTTGAGTTCGCAGGCACTTATTTGCAGTTAGGAATCCCATTCTGTTAATAAATTTTATGACTATATTAATTGTTGAAGGACATCTCGTGGTGCTACCTTGAACTCTCGGGAAATAGAAATGTTTCTCAACATTTTGCTCAATAATTATTTTTTCATGGCCATGCTCATTGCATTATTTTTGAAATATTCAACTTTCTTTAGAAGGGCAGTACCAAGTCTCTGTCTTCTGGCAATCGCTCAAGCAAGTATTTAATGGAAAAACAACTATGTGCGGTAAATTCGTCCCGGTAGATTCGCTTTCCGAAGATTCGCTCTGAGTAGAAGTCAAATTACAATTCAGGTTCACCTGTAAATGAAACTGGTAGATTACTCGCACCTTGGAGAGTCCATTCTCATATTTGCAGATGTGGTTCTTCTCTGTCTATGTTCCCATTTTTTTGAGCTGGTGATAATTTTTCGCCCCGATTGAGCGTATATGTTCAACCACCGACGGGTTTGGTTTTAACATGTACAATGGGAGTCGCTATTGAGTATAATCGCAAACGCCGGCCCGTGTGGCGCAGTTCAGTTAACGCTGGACTGTGGTGCTAAGGGGTCCCTGGTTCGAATCCGGGTTCGGGAATGGATATTTGTAAATGTATAGTGGGTTGGGTTGGTAGAGCAGCCTTGGCTGAAACCCCGCCCACTCAAAAAGAAAGGCAAAATAAAAAAAATAAAGCTTCACTCTAGGTCGACTGTAAAGTATAATATAAGAATTTCTAGAAAGAAAACTTTGATTTTCATTGAAGCAAGGTAATTTTGGTCATTCTTAAGTTGGCGAAACTGAAAAATCTTCAGAAGTGACAGCTGATGTTTGTAAGAGGTTATGTTAACTTGTTCTTCTATTAAATTAAAATATGCTGGGTTTAACGTGTATATTAACAGTTAATGTAATAAAAGTAGTATAATAGTATACAATACAATTTTAGGTTTAGTTCGAGTTGTACACAAAAGTATCGACATTTCCATGTGAATACTCGTAAGGATACTCTTTACTTAAACCACGTTTGGAAGCACATACAATCTTGAACGCCTTAGGAAAGATGAACGTCGTAGATAGGGTTTCATTTTGCATCTGGCCTTATCCGTATTGACCACCGATTAGTATAGATCACCTTGTTCACTCAAGAGGGGAAACCGGGGGCACCTCTCGTACCGACCGGTGATTAACTTCGAACGCCTTTTTCGTATCAGCCGGTGACTAGAATCGACACTTGAAAGGGGAAGGGACATCTCTCGTATCTTCCATAGACCGCCGCTTTGTTATCGACCGCCTGTTTCGTATCAAAAATCTTCAGAAGTAGATATATGATGTTAGTATTTCAAGCTAGAACGTTGCTGCTCATCTGTAAATAATGCACAATGAATGATGTAAAACATGTAGAGAACTTCATCGAATTTTTTAACGTTTATTAAATCGTGGACAAAACATAACCTCTTAAGAAATTGAAGTTCGCACTAAGGAAAGTTACGCACACTTTATGCAGTAACATAACCTCACATTTCGATGAAATTATGTGAACTTTGTTTTAAAATTGTGGAAAATTTCAAGCTTCTCCCACAAATTTTTTTGTTAAAAACGCTTAATTAACATACGCTTTACCTATTTTTATTAATCTCATGATCGTAGCTAGAGGGCTTAATAACGCCATGCAACCATTCAAAAATTTAGTAATCCTGTAGGATGTTTTTATTCTTCATATATTTGTATCTCCACATTTCTTTGTCATTTCTTGGGGATTCTTCTTATTCTCAACCTCTGGTCCTATGAATGAATATGATTCTATAATCGTACAAATAGCGATTAAAAATGGATTGACGTCGAGACGCCTTTGTTCAAGTTAAATATGATTCCCACCCAATGTAAACAAAAATTTCAAAGGCGACTCGACACTAACTCTTTTTTGATCGCATAGTATTACCATGTCAGTAACTCACCATAAAATGCCCTTTTCCTAAAAAGAAGTTGCTAACTGTTTATAAGAGGAAAGGAAAGAAAGAAGAGAAATGTTTATGTCCTAGACGAAATAAATCCCTTTGGAACATCAGCTAATAGAATCGCATCAAGCAACATCGCAACAGCTTCTATCCTAACATATCTTTATTGTACTATACTAACTTATACACTTCACTCTAGTCTAGCTCTAGGACATGATTTATGTCTTTTCTAATTTACACTATAGTACTTACACCTGAATATGAAACACGCAACTAAAAAGGCCAAACATCGTTAAGGTAGATGACAGTCATCTCGTATGACTGGTCTGATACGATTGTACAAGGACAATCAATTTATGTAAATTAAATGACAAGCTCCAAGGTATCAAAGTGTGGGTGACGTTTACGAAATAATCATGTGATTTAAAATCGTTGTGGTTATGTTATCGCTATTACAACTAATGTGTTAGTTACTATAGAATGTAGAACATTTTTCAAATTGGGAAATCGAGCCCAATCATGCGTTTTGTAATGGACATTAGGATTTCAATCAGAATTTTTATTTCCAGGGTCAGTTTCCACGAGGATATCCCCCGTCGTCAAATGCGATGCTGTTCGATGACGATCCCGGCATAATGTCCGAAGTTGAAACAAGCTCTACTGGATTCCGCAGGGGTGGTAAACAACGTAGCTCCCTGCCAGTGGTACGAACGCCTAGTAAAACATTAGAACGACCATTAGGTATTACAAGTGACCGATATCCATTGTCATTGAACTAAGTTTCTGTAAATTTCAGGACTAGTTTTTTTACAATACCGTAACGAAACGAAACGTGCATTACTGCCAAACGAAATTACTTCCATAGATACCGTAAAAGCGTTATTCGTTAGGTCGTTTCCGAAACAATTAAGTATGGAGTACCTCGACTCGCCCCTCGTTAAAATCTACATACACGACTCTTCTAAGGATATGTTCTACGAGTTGGAGGACGTCAGGTAAACGCTAAGTCGTTGTTATTTAACACTAACCTTCAGCTGCTAGGTCTCACTTGCGGGAAATTCGAGACCGTTCTGTTCTTCGGTTGTTCGAGTCAACGGATGTTTCAGGAGGTCTTCCGATGGGTGGTGTGGGAATACCAGGCGGCGTGGGACATTTTGAAGATCCCAGTTACTTTTCGGAACCTGAGTTTGACTCTGAGTACCAACACCAGCACATACATAAGAGCAAGGTAAGTGCTTTACTTTTATTTTAAACGTTCATCGATGACCACATAAATACTAAATACAAAAATACATAACAATAATAAAGGTTAACAATTAATGGCTACTCTAAACATATATGGCTATCATCACTTTATGGACACAATTTTAGAAAGCTTTGCATTGAGGATTTGCCGGCGTGTAAAACGCACCCGAATAGAGCTTTTTTGGAACAGTTCTCCAACCGAAAACCAACGCTTTACCGAACGGTTCTTCAGCGCATCCCGAACACAGATTCAGTATCGCTTTCACTTCCGCTTCGGCCGGTTCGCGCTTTTCTGATTCCTTCTGCTGCTGCTGTATCGGCTGATTTTGACCAATTCCAGCTAGTCCACTCAGTAGAGATTGATCGAAGTTAATTTTGAAAAGACTGTCGTCAAAGAACGCGCCATCTTTCAGGTAAAGTTCTCTTTTAATGTGCTTCTTTTCTTCCATGTCATCCGAAGTTGAGTCGACCGCTTCACTTGCGTGCCTCTTCTGTTTAACGCTTTGAGTGGCATTCTCTTGGTCCCTTTTGAAGAGATGGTGATTGCCAAATGGTGAATCTATAAACTGCACGTTCGCCGGATTTATGAGGGACGGGTGTACTAATCCTCCACTTATGAAAGATGAAGTTGGAGGTCGTGAGGGAATGGGTGACGGCTGGGCGGTTGGGAGTTGCGAAAACGAGGTCAAAAATTGTATTGGTGGTGGCTGGGCTTGTGGTTGTTGATTGGGGTCCGCCAGGAACTGTTGAGGACCGCGAGATTGAGGCGTGTTCATCAGTTGTTGCGTAACCAAGTTGCTTACAAATTGACCATTTAGAAATTGCGCGTCGAAGTTTTGTCCCGGAACCACTTGCAGGGGCATCTGTCCGCTTGCGATTGTTAACGCAATGTTGGGATTGAGTTGGCCACCGGTTAAGAGTGGGTGAGTCGGTGTCATTGGACGTGGTGGGCTTGGCGGACGTGGTGTTGTTGTTATGGGCATGCCGTTGTGATCGAATGTGTGCGCGTGATGGTGTTTATGATCCTTGTGAGCCTTTCCAGCGGTTAATGCGACCCTATACAACTGCACCATTGTAACTTCTCCAAGCATGCCTCCAGAACCTACAAACGGCAAAAGCAAACTTAGAAAAGTGTAATAAAACAGAATGGGGATACCTTTCGGAGCTTCAACTCCTTCCAAGAATCCTCCGCCATACTGCGTTTGTTCTTGACCAGTTATGGCAATACCTCCGGAAGGAATATGGTGGCCTACCAACTAAGTTTACCAAATTAATACATACAGTAGGAACCGGTTTTCCTTGTCTCAGTAAAAAATTACCCGATCCATAACTTATTTGTTCCTATCCAAATTAACTGTCAGGTAATTTAATTGAGACAAGAAAATTTTCCAGAATATACCTTAAAATTATTATCACATTCATGACACATTTTAAAATTTCTCGTATCTTACTTATAGCTTCTCTTAGTTTATGTCAGGATCATAGAATAGCAAGAAAGTACAATTCCTTTTACAGACACCTTCATAATATGTAGGAATGTCTTATATGAATTCCAAGGTTTTTGATCCTGCAGAATAAGTATAAGACTCGCGAGATAAGGAACGAGTGTTCAAGCCGATAAGAGTCGAAACGTTACAGTGTAACCGGTTCTAAAAGCCGTCGCTACGCATAATGAGGGGACTCACTCTTCGTTATAGCTACCCATGTAGAAAAAACGCAGCCAGCCGAAGCCGCGCTGTCGAGGTAAATCTCTGTAATTCAAACGCGGAATTTTTACATTGCGTTATTAAATTGAATGTGAAGATGAGTTGGTGTCATCGAAGTATACGAAAGAACAATTAGCCGCGGTATCGTATTCCTGAATTACTAGAGAAACTGTGTCGCCATTTCGCCGAATTTATTGACGTGGGTATCTTCTGAATTTGTTACGAGTTGCCACTAATAATACGTGGCTGGTTTATGGCAGAAAGAGAACTCGATTGCGTAGCGGAGGCGATCGGCTATCAGATTTATTTTTAACCGTAAATATACTTTTAAAGGCGTACGCAAATATTTTGGTTTCGTTGCATTATCGGAGTAACGTTTTTGCGTAAAACTAAATTATAACAAGGAAAGCACTGGCACGTTAAGAACAAGTTTATCAATCAAAGCTGTGCACCTTTATTGTGTATACGGGGTGTTATTAAATCTTCATTAAACGGCAACCTGTAAAAAGGTTAAAGATAAATAATTCGTGCGTTTGTTTGTGGCAAACCCTAAGTCATAAGAGTAAATTTTGACATTACCATACTGCGAAGCATTGGTAACTATTCCAGTAAATAAATCAACTTTCAACTGCGAAAAACCTGAAGGACGGTTTGTTTTGGATTCAAATTCGTTAACGATCTTTCGAGATTCACTTTCCACGAGTAACCAAATTTCTACCTGTTGATACGGTCCAATTGTATTGGACAAAGCGTTCCACCATCCAATTTTCGAAATTGCTGCTACCCTTCCAAAGGGGAACTGTCGACTAGCGGAAATTTGACTCAACTATTTTGAGTTTTTTGCATTGTATAACCATAGGAGTCGAGTTTTTTGGGGATTTTGTATAATAATTTTGCACTTAAAGTCATTCTAACATTTCTGAAGAGGTCCGTTCACGGGAATTGATCCCGTGAACAAATTTGTGTATTATTTATGAATGATAAGTGAACCCAAACGAAAGATATTGATAAGTGTGGGTTAAATTTTATTTAGCATCCTGAGGCGTGTAAATTTATTTTGAATATAATTTTGTACCATGTTTAAAAATTATTTTGTATTGATTACATGAAATAAATCAATCTTTTAAATCACAAAAAAATGTAAAGAAAATTGGAGTTGGAACGAGAGTATTTTCTACAATATATATTTCAAGCAAGCAAGTCAATTTATATGAGTATTTATTTGAGAGTGATCAAACCAAAGAATCAGATTTTAATTTTCAGATTCAGAACCAATCTTCCGCAAGTTAAGAGTCTTTGAAATTTTATTCGTTACTGAGCTAGCCGTGGTATTAATTATTTCATTACAAGAAATTAATTGTGACAGTTAAATGTTTACCAGTGTCGTAGAGAATCAAATTTATTTTATAGAAGAGAGGATTCTAACCTCTGTAGAGGTAACTAAGCCATTACATCATAAATAAAAACATACTCATAAATATCTTGTAATGTTTATTCTGTTCTTGAATTGGCATTGGAATTATTATTATAGATAAATTAAGAGCCATTTAGAAGCTTTTACTTGCAAGTAATTGTAATTAATGCATAAAATTTTGTGAATTTGGCTGAATCTAAGCAGTTTTAGGTTTAACTTTACAATATACATAGATTTCTACTAAAATTTCGTACTCGCCAAATGTTTCTAAATATATTGTACCAGTAATGTTTTTGAATTTGCATTAGCATTGGAGTTATTTTGCAAATTAATTTTTTCCTCTAAATTAACGTATTTAACGTATAAAATTGGGTAAATTCAATCGGAGGCCCTCTACAATAAATTTTAGATTTCTACTGATTTGAACGAGCTCTAAAATTTTAAGGCTGCTTTATGAAAAGCTCCTAAGCTCTAAAGTTTGATGATATTTTTTAATTTATAATCGGGGGGAGGGAGAGGGAGCTCGGTTGAATAGGGTGCGCTTGGTCCTGAACTTTTCTCGAAGTTGTCCGACGATTTATAGTTATTCGACTTGTGGTATTTTATTTAACATGGAAGGCTCTCTCCTGCAGATAGGTAAATGCATAAGAAAATTTGTATTAAACTAGAACCGAATGTCTCCTTATTCAGGAATACTTTTAATTATAAAAAAACAAATTTTCCAGGGTTGAACAAACCTTCTCAAAGGGATTTGTCTGCGTACCAGTGCATCAGTATTCTTTTTTAATGAAGTGATCTGAGGCATTTGAATCTTGTCATTAATGCGCTCTTGCCTTCCTTCGAAATGGAATATTGAAATACAAAGCGCTACATAAATTGAAAGTAAATTACGACTATCTTAAAAGCAATACTTCGATCGCCTGTACACTTCCGTGATTTCCCAAGAACGTCTGTCGTCTGAAGTTTAATTACACAACGAAGAACCACTCCGAAATTTCCAATTAGTGGCGTAATTCAAAAATACGTAAAAAGCTGTCTGCAATAACTTGGGATCGACGAGAAAGTTTTCTAAAATTAATTGCCGTTTGCCGCAGTTACCGATATGTGCGTTTTAAAATGACGGTTATGTAAAAAAAGGGCGATTCGTGTTACTTACCCTATTATGAAAACCTCTTCCGACTCTCTCCGCGTTTACCCAAATTTGCCATTCGCCAGTTCGACCGTTCCAGCTCTGACACGTGTGATACCATCGATTAAGCCTCAAAGGGTAATTTAGCCTATAAAAGGTGTGTCCCCCGACGCCCAAACTGAAGTAACTCGACCGTTCTGTGTTTGACACCCACGATAGAATAGCTTTCGGTTGTCCATCAACTGAAATGTGGTTTATTGTGTAAAGATTTCGGTTTAATTAATCAGTTTAATTATTCCATTGAAAAGTGAGCTCGTTTATTCTTGGACCCCAACCAACCCTATTTTAATCTACACGACAACTTGTCAAAATGTCGACCTACCTGCGTAGGAGAATATCGGATGATCGTTGCTGTGATTGTTAAATTTCGCCCAGTAGCACAATGTAAATTCCTTCAAATCGGGAATGCCGGCCTTATACTGTATGTACTGAAAGTATAAATCTTGCGTGAATCCAACTTTATGCAGATCACATTGCCCTCCACCGTGCTGTAGGCCCGGCTGTTGATAGCTTTGCGCAATTAAAGTTGGCAGATTTGAAAAATGCGGTTCCGAGGGAAATCGAGTTTTCAAATTTGGATATAAATCGGGATGCAGGACGGGTTGCCAGTCCGCTATACTTCGACAGACGGGAAGGATTAACATAAACAGGATTACGTAGACCATTATTCGAGCGCCTTCCTGCAAGAAAACGCACACTTTAGTTTTGGGACGCTCGTTTTTATTGCCTGAAATCGGTGTTAATTGGGTTTCATTTCTAGCAATCACGAACTTTTGCCGTAAATGCTCATTGTGTGGAACATTTAATTACGTACCTTTTCTACAGATGCCCGATGTAATTAAAAAATCGCAACTGCTTCGTTACCTATCTAATGATGCGTGATGTTTTAAATTTACATTTTTATGTTAATGCCTTTGCTAATTGACCAAAGAAAATTAGAAACTGTCGCATTGTGTTTTAGTTTTCTCTTAACGAAACGTTGTGCCCAACCTTAAAGATCATATTTGTTAGTAGTGAAAATGATATACCAAGAATTTTATCACTCTGTTTTATATAAACCTTGAATAAGAGGATGTTCCCAAACAGTCATACCATAACAAACATCAAAATCGGTTCTTTTCAGGACCACAAAATGTGTGTTTTCAAAAGAAATTCGTGATGTCATTAATTATTGTTCTCCATTCAATAAATAATAAAGCAATTAATAGCTTTTTTATTATACCTGAATCACAATCTCCGTTTTAAACACTCAAATGCGTGCGAAAAAGGCCTTTAAAACACACGTGCTTTAAAGTTGCTAAGTAACGATACTTCAAGTATGACTTTTGAAACTGTCATCTGGATGAAATAAAAAATCCTCTTAGGTCGCTTTCTGTAAATGCAGAACATTTCTTTGGCTTTTGTACTATCCTTTGGTTGAAGCTTTCACAAACGCGTAATTTAGGGTATGCTTCCAAATCTGTTCCACTTTTTTTTGCTTTAAAGTTTTGAATGAATGCACCAAAATATAGAAGATTTAAATACCTTTGACATTTCCTTCATATATCCAGCCAGTTTAAAATGAATGGTTTTGTACCAACGTTTGTGCAGCCATTCTTAACATAAAACCAGAGCTGGTATAAAAATATAAAAATATTGCCAGGATCTTTCCCGTACAACAATAATTTACTCATCGAAACGTTAAATTATACTATAGCCACACCGTAGATTGACATATTTTGAAATGAGTGGTCAACGTGAATAATGAGAAAAGGAAAACTTTTTAAGACACCCCGGAACGATTTTTTGAATACAATATTAATTAAATTAACTAAAGGTATTAAAAAATAATTTCACGCTTAGCCAAACGTTGTATAATTGGCTTTAAAGATTTGCAACGTTTTTTATAGAAATAAGTAAAGAGGATTTTTTCTGGTCGTAAAAACATTATGATTCTATATTATTTTCCAAAGAAATATTGGGCTGGTTGATTGCAGTTTGCGTAGTTTGTTTCAAATGGCTCTCTTGTTTTCTTAATTACTTCAGAATTTTACGATAGCGATAGCGAGAGTTTACCTCAGGTTGACGGTTTTATGGGTTTTTTTTGTTTCATGCACAACGGCAGCGGTATAGCACTTTCTGACCAAAGCAAAGCTTAATTATCAAAATTTTTAAAGTGAGGATAGCCGTTTTTTGACTATGAGAATGTTTCCAATTGGCACATTAAAAAACATGGCAGGCTATTCAGTACGTCTGAAGAAAAAAGTAGGTGTGGTTAATCAAAAATGTTAGGGCGATCTAGGTACCTCTTTATGTTAAAATCTTGTGTGACGAAATTCGTGCCCTAATTATGAAATTATCATTACCAGAAGAATTCAAAGCAGAAATCCTATAGTTCGGGTAGCATGATTGAATAAAAAACGGAACCGTAAGGTCATTTCCTGTGAAACGTGACGCGTTACAAACATTCTCTCGTTCGGTACGCACTGAAAAATGAACAATAAACCTATTACCTCGTCATGTATCTGAACAAATTCAAGATTTTTGCATTAATTAAAAATAAGTCTGTACGATTTCCCAAGGAAACGAAAACTCTCCCTTTTCTAAAAAAATTAATAGGATTGATATATTCACTGTCTTTAATAAATTTGGCGCTCGTGTAAAACTGCACAAAGTGACGAAAGTTCCTGGCAGTAATAAACGCTAAAGAAAACCCCACCGATTCGTTATCCTCAACAATTTTCCCCGGAGTGTCCAATTTCACTGAGATTTGAAGCCAGCAGGCGTTTCTGAATTCTCGATCCAGTCTACATCCGATAATTATAAGCAGTTTATCCATTGTTCGGTAAAACCGAGTTACTTAATTATGGATCCGAAATCGACAGCAAACGTCAACTTCAAGAAACACTATGTCATTTTTTAATACGGCCATTGTAAATTCAAATTGTCTTGGTTGGAGCCGTATACGAGTTCGTTGTAATTTAGTAATTTTTACCGAACAGCGCCAATTTGTAATTAGTGTAGATTGACTATTGCAAATATTGCAAAAATTTGATTATTAACGAACTCCTAGCGAATGCATAATTTTGCGGTGTCTGTCCGTCGTGCCCTAATTATGAAATTATCATTACCAGAAGAATTCAAAGCAGAAATCCTATAGTTCGGGTAGCATGATTGAATAAAAAACGGAACCGTAAGGTCATTTCCTGTGAAACGTGACGCGTTACAAACATTCTCTCGTTCGGTACGCACTGAAAAATGAACAATAAACCTATTACCTCGTCATGTATCTGAACAAATTCAAGATTTTTGCATTAATTAAAAATAAGTCTGTACGATTTCCCAAGGAAACGAAAACTCTCCCTTTTCTAAAAAAATTAATAGGATTGATATATTCACTGTCTTTAATAAATTTGGCGCTCGTGTAAAACTGCACAAAGTGACGAAAGTTCCTGGCAGTAATAAACGCTAAAGAAAACCCCACCGATTCGTTATCCTCAACAATTTTCCCCGGAGTGTCCAATTTCACTGAGATTTGAAGCCAGCAGGCGTTTCTGAATTCTCGATCCAGTCTACATCCGATAATTATAAGCAGTTTATCCATTGTTCGGTAAAACCGAGTTACTTAATTATGGATCCGAAATCGACAGCAAACGTCAACTTCAAGAAACACTATGTCATTTTTTAATACGGCCATTGTAAATTCAAATTGTCTTGGTTGGAGCCGTATACGAGTTCGTTGTAATTTAGTAATTTTTACCGAACAGCGCCAATTTGTAATTAGTGTAGATTGACTATTGCAAATATTGCAAAAATTTGATTATTAACGAACTCCTAGCGAATGCATAATTTTGCGGTGTCTGTCCGTCTGTCTGTCAGTTAGCACGATATCTCGAATGGACCGATTATGATGAAATTTTGCAGGTGGATTCTTTATTAAATTTGTAGATCGGGGTTCGTGAATTGGCAATGTAGACCAAAAAATAAGGAAGGTCGTTTTAACTTCTCATACTCAGGAGCTCGTTCGCCATATTTGTTTAATTTTTTTTTCATTTAGCAAAAATGATGGTAAATGTGGCCACGGATTTAAATGTTGATAAAAAGGGTAGGTTTAGAAAAGTATAATAGAGCTAATCTTAAATAGATGTAAAAGACTGGAATAATTCCCCAGTTTTCATTAGCTTTGTACAGTCTACTCTGAATTTAGACCAAACGATTTTTGAATTATTCGAGTTTTTTTGAAATCTTTAGCAAATGCACCCTTTCACAAAATAAATTTCCTTTATTCAATCAATTGAAACAGGCCCATGTTTAAAAGTCCTACGCTAACCTCGTACAACAGCCGTTCAAAAATTGACGCTCATGAATTTATGTCGGTCCTCTACTTTTCTAATGGAAACATGCTGCGAACTTAGGTGGACACACCGTATATGAAGGCATGTTACGTTGAAAGTAATTAATCGGCGATTATTCATGACTGGTCAATGTAATTAATAATTAGCGTTGTATATTTTCTAAGCAACCCTCGGAGCGATTTATTGAATTCAATATCTTCTTAGTTCATTAGATTGTAGGGACAGATTCTCTGCCCCTAAGTTTTAAAAGGAAATACACTCAACATTTCCAAAAATGCACATTATCCAGTCATTATATAAATGTAACGTGTATACAACACGCTACTAAATTGTGTAATCTATTGGTTTTTAACTGTCTAAGTTAATTTCACGCTTCGGCAAAAAGTTATAGTCTTTGTGGTTGATATTGTCATCATGATTCATGGCGAGATTGAATTTAATGTTAGAAAAAGGATGGAATAATGTTGAAATTTCATCATTTTTATGAAACTAGCACTGTAGCTCTTCAGTGGAAATATTCTGAAATTTTAGTGAGGACGAGTTTTATAGGGATCGAGCTTTTTTGAACAAGCAATTTTTTGGGAAACATGCTGAAGAGCGACTAGTCCGGCGGAGGAAAGTTTTCCTTTGGAGCGGAATAATCTTACATAACTAGAAGAAAATTTTCAAATTGACTACATACCCGTTATACCAAGGGGGAATTTCCGTGCTTGATTAGCGAGTATTTCGACCGAACCTAATTTTTTTTGGAGGGAAAAAGTTAGAGGGTTAGTTTCTGGGGAGACAGAGGGTGAATTTGCGGGAGACGAAATATCTCATGTCACGGTGTTTGTGGTCGCACTCCTCCGAAACGGCTCGACCGATTTTTATGAAATTTTGTTTGTATATTTGATGGGTATGAGTATAATAAGAGAGACGTCGTAAAGGATATTTCATACCGCTAGGTGATTATATTGTTTGCCGGGTATGCAAGAGGTGAGCTAAAACGAGCGTATGTTTCTCAAAACTCAAACTATATCAAAAGTAAACAAGATATGAAGCATCTCATACGATTCTCAGGAGGCGCATTTTTCCATCAAATCATGGCCGACTACTAAAAAGAAAATCCGAAAAAAATGGTATCAATGCGATGAAATTGGAGTCAGTCAGAAACAAAATGAATAGGGGTGCCATTTAAAATAACGAAGTTTAAGCTACGTCCGGTATTTCCGGAAGTGCCACCATTTTGAAAATATTTTATATAGATTTGGCCTCCAGAGAAAACCATAAGAACACATTTTCAAAACCTACCTATTTCATTTTCCCAGAAACTTTTAACTAAGGTTCCCAAAAAAACACACTGTATA